GCGGAGCTCTTCTCGCTCGAAACTTGTTCGTGGAAGCAAATTCCTTTTCCCCATGATCCCCAGCTCGAATCCATGCAGCATCCTTCGCGTCACATTCACGTCAATGGCTTTTATTATTGGCTAGCAGTGGATCCCACCAAGACGGATCTTTGTGTTATTTCATTCGACTTTGCTAATGAGCAGTTTCCTCGTGATCTCATGCGTATGCCGGAGAGCAAACTTGTCCTCCCCAGGCTTGACGGTGCTACTCTTGCCGAGTTTCGTGGGTTGCTGGCTGCTATTGTTTTTGATTACAATGTGCAGAAGGAGGAAATTACTAAGCAGATGAAGATGACTAGGGAAGAAGCATCGCCTTTTATTTTTGAGATATGGGTACGGATTAACGGCATCTGGTCCCATGAATCCACATACACAGTCGCTCGTGCTGATGCTGATGCTGGTGTTGTTTACAGGAGGGTCGTCGGCCTGTACAAGGATCATAAAGCATTTCTTCAGGACTCGCAGGGTTACCTGTGGCTTTATGATCTCGTGAAGCGTGAGTTGGAGCGTACAAGCATCCGTGATGATAGTTTTAGTCTGGCAGTCTACTCTTATGTGTGAAAGTGATCATCTAAATTTTGAAGTAAATGAGAGCTCGTCGGTTTTGTTTCTAGCAGCACCAACACATTACGGAAGTGTTCGTCTCTTATAATGCCCCGTATCTTACTGTAGACCATCCTTGAGAATGTTGCTAATATCTTATTTCCATGAACTGGAAACTCAGACAGTGTTTGATGGACGCACCTTTGTTTCTTTACATTGTATGCTCCATTTTGATTTCAGCCCCTTTTTTCTATTATAAAAACTTTGAAATCTTTTGTAAATGATCTTTTGAATTGACCATTTTCGGTGGAACTCTCGTGGCATTGATGTTTCGTAAAGCCCGTGTTAGTGCAATATAGAAAAATGTGCTTTCCTGGACTTTGGCGTGTATATTATTAACTGAATGCATTAAGTTTCTCTTTGCTGCCCTTCCCATTCATGCATTTTCTCCCATTTGGACCCTGCCAATGAGTGGTTATTTGTGTTGTATGCTTTGGTTTCTTGCATCGTAAGTAATGCTGCATCTTGAGATCCGTCTTTCCATGGTTCTGCTGCATCACAAGGAGCAATTGTGAGGATCAAAGAACTGAAGACATTTCGAATACCGACAGCAGCTCCTGCTAAAGCAATTGTAGCCAGTCCGGGAAGGCCAACCCAAGCCAAGAGCCTGGTAAGAGAGGTGCCAAGTCCCACACCATGTGTGGTTTCCTCTCGTTCAGCTTACTCGTACCTCCATACCCGCCTTATGATCGTCATTTAGAAATACGATACGTTAGGTTACTACAATGATATATATTTTTTTGTGCGTGCTTAATACAACGTTGTATATGTATATATAAAGTTTTGACAATATTGTTTCTAAAAAAATTTATAATTTAAAGATTACAAAACATTGTTCCCATAAGTATTATGAGCTGCTACTTCATTTGCATTTGGTTAATTGATTAAATCCATTATCTATTGTGTAATTTCCAAAAAAAATAAAAATAAAAAAATAAAAAAATATGACCTTAATTTAATTAAACAAAAGTAATCATTCTCCAGGGGTTTTATCTATATGTCTGATTCAAGCAATCCTACATCTCCTTCTTCCAATGACCAAAAGTACAAAGTACCTGACCTAGTTATATCATGATGAAATTAGTGTCTTTCTCCAAATAACAAAAAAGAGAGCTTCACCACCTACATCTTGATCTCCATTTCATACAAGATATCCGATTTATATTCGACAGTTGATCGTCCGATTTTCGACATCAACAACCGACAACAAATATAGTAAATTCTGAGATAATATGTATATATATGAAATATATAAGAGAATTTAGTATATAATCTAAATTTGAGTTCTAAATTTAAAATTCAAATTATCATTCATAACTTAAGGGTCAATATTATCTTGGACGTAACTAGAGTTGTCAATTATTTATATTTTAATAACTTACTCCACAACTTAAACTTTTTAAATTTGATAGTTTATATAAAATTATATTTATTTTAATTAATGGCACAATCTATGTTTTATAATTATATTTATTATTCATATATATTTGAAAATATACGGTAAAATTTCAACAATGTAATTATTTACGAAATTACGATGTAGTTAAATCAAAATTATGAATAAATTTAAAAAAATGACGCTATTTTGAAATGCACACAATGTAATTTATTATCAGTTGCGTGCACCATAGGAGTTGTGTACTAATTTTAAATAGACATGTTTTATGTAATTTTGCACAATTTAATTTTAGATGTTATTTTCAATAAATTAATATAGTTAAATTGTATTTGATCTCGATTCTACATTTTTAATCAATAAATATTATTTCATGAGTATTTTTTAATTTATAAATATTAATGAATATCATCGAATGAGCTACGTAGTTGTTGTTAGTGATTCACGAGCACATGCCTGATCGTAGGGTCTCGTCTCCTTATGCACTAGCAGTAGGAAGCCTTATGTATACAATATTTTGAACGCAACCAGATTTTGTTATAATGTAGGCATAAAAGCCACATATCAAAGTAATCCAAGACCAGAGCATTGGACTGCGGTGAAGCATATACTCAAATACTTGAGAATGACTAAGGAGTATATGTTAGTTTACCGACACTGATTCTGATTTCCAGTCAAACCGAGATAAAAGTAAATCCACCTCAGGGTTTGTGTTTACTATGGGAGGTGGAGTCATAGTTTGGAGGAGTTTCAAGCAGAAATGTCTGACATAATTCACCATGTAAGCCAAGTAACAAGTTCAAAGACATTATTATGTCTTCTAGAAGGTTAACAAGTTGCAAGACATTAAGTTTTCTATTCCTATTTGAAAAGCTCATATTTAGCACTTTCTTAGGGTCCCTATTGTAGTCTATAAATACACCAAGTCCCAACACATCCTAGATCATCAAGCCACGTGTTTTTTTTTTTTTTTTTTTTTTTTTTTTTTCTATAAGAGAGGAAAATCAAGTGCTATATATTAGGAGGTTTTGGTAGTTTCTTCTAGTCGCACCACCAAGACTATTCGAAGTAGGTGTAGAGGTAATATATAAGAAGATCATAAGGTATACTTTTTTGCATCCCAACGAGTTTACTCAAAAATTCCCAGTGACCATCACTCACCGGAAAAAGCCGCGACTAGGAGCCCACGGTGCCAGCTGCAGTAGCTTTACTGGCAATCGCAAGGACCACATAACTATAGTCAGCCCCGTCCGAGAGTTCTGCTCCAAGCACAGACCCGTGAGATTCTCGACCTGGACGCGTAGACCTGTGAGATTCTCGACCTGGACGCGCTGACCCGCGAACTTCTTAGTAGGGGCCGACGCGCTCCGCGCTCCCAACGCACACGATTTTCAACAACAAAAATCTATAGCTTCTCAGAGTCGGCAAAATTTTAAACCGTAAGTCCTAATCCTAACTATAGATTCAGCTGCGTTACGATTTAATTCGTTAGATTCGGATGTGCGTATTGACAAAGCTCCTAATAGAATCCAATATATATGGCTACGTTTGAATACATCTTGTCAAATAAAGCCATAAAAATTCGAACTTGTACATAACGAATTAAACCAATTGCTCTGATACCAATTGTTAGGATCTATGAAGATCTCGTTATATACTTGTCACAAATTCAATAGCAAACGTAAATCTATGCGCAGCGGATCTAAATGTTTGCGTAGCAAACTTACGGCTTAGTATGTATTGGATGATCTTCTGGATGGCTGTAGACAGCACACCAATTAATTGTTGACTGCAAATCACGTCTTAAGGTTGCACGAAATAGATCGGACCGAAAACGAGATCAAACGGGTGCAAACGGATGAAGACAGACTTGCAGTCCTGGAACCTTCCGGTGGCGTGTGTGGTGTCGGACGGCGGCGATCTCAGAGGCGTTGGAGAGATCTCGTCGAGATGGTCGTCTGGGTATGTTGCACTCCTTCATCGGACCTCCGTTTAGTTCATTACGATAAAATATATTTCGTCTCGGTTTACCCTCAGATCTTCTATTGTATATCTCAAACACCTATTAATCTTGTACTGGTGGAACAACAAGAAGAAGATAAAACTCGAATGAGAACAGTGAGAGAGAGAGAGAGAGAGAGAGAGAGAGAGAGAGAGAGAGAGAGAGAGAGAGACGCGTGGGGGGAGGGGGGCGTGAAATATGATGGTCATGTGTTCTCTTCCCATGAGCTTAATGATGTATATATAGAGCTACAGTAGGGACCCTTAAGAGATTAGGAGAATGGCTCCTTAATTAATTAAAATACTTATGGACCAAGTCACTTATTTTAATTAATTATATAATATTAAATGGGCCACCAACATAATATTATTGCACTCTCTTTCCGAGCCCATTTTACAATTGAGACTCCAATAATAATTACTCGATTTATCTCCTCATGTTTAAGATATAATGTACATTCATTAATTCGATTACTGACAATCAATAATTAATTAATTTATTATTATTTCACCGAAGCTAGCGCAAGTTCATCACATTATTATTATGCAGAAATTTTTTCCACCTGCAGGGTTTAGCATAATAATCCTTCATGAACTCACACCGGGACATCATCAAACTGATGCACATGGTGACCGTAAATATCCTAACAGCACATCCTATATGTAGCAATATTACCCAAGACAGCGGGTCTATTGGCCCAATTCACTAAGCCTCACTCATGTGAATCAAAGTAATAAGTACTACAAATATATGCATGTTTAATATCTTACGGGTTAAGAACACACAGTAATTAACCGAGGCCTAGTTCGTTTACGACGATCATTATAAAACGAACTGCTCCTCTTTGGGATCATGTTCAATACATAAATGTACTAATGCAACTAATCAGTCAAGACAAAATGTACGGTTGACACTACAATTGTTCACGATGGGGTGTTCATGTCCATCTGGGTTGTGAACCACTTATTATTGTTTCACGAGTAACTGATAGTATGATCTTCGATTCGCCCGATGACGACCCACACTATCCAATACAAAACAACAGAACGTAGAACTTGTTTAATCTAACATTTTTCTCATTCATAGAGGGTAAAGGTGTAATATCATCAAAAGCCAAGCTTTCAGTATATAACACTAACAGGTCTGTGGAGAAGTCGGGGGATGTGCGGATCTTTGGCTGGTTGGTGACATGCGTCATATTTACGTGCATTTTATAGTGATTTACGTGTCCGTTTCGTCGTAATTTGATATACAATTAATTATAATTTAATTAATTATTATTAATTATTTATTTATTTTTATTAAGCTATGATGAGGTGTTATTTTGAGTTTTAACCGGAAATAGGTTCGAAATATTTTTTGAGTCGAAAACGGCGTGGAACGGGTAAATATAGTAGCAAGGCCATGCATGCATTGGAACAAGCCCAATTACTCAACCCGCTAGAGTAATGTGAGAGTCCATTTTATATGCTCCGTTGGGCCAGAAAAAAAAAAACAGCCCAACATGGTCCATGAATTCAGCCCAAAGAAGCTACTTAAGTAGAGGGTATAATAGTCCATTTAGCAGAAAATGCATGTCTTCTTCGAGGAGATGTACGAGCAAAAGGAGGAGTATGAAAGACAACTCAAGATCAGCGAGGAAGAGATCTTGCTCGTGGGCGAAGAGGGTGAAGCGGCGCACATCGACGGCGAGGCCGAAGAGAGTCGCGACACGACGCACAAGAAGGACAACACGGATGAAGTGATATTCAAAGTCGAGGTCTTGGTCGAGGTCGATGACGACCGTGAGTGGGATGTTCACGTGATCGAAGAAGAAGTTCTCGATGTTTGGATGGTCGAGGATGAGTCTTTGAAGACAAAGACATTCTCAAAGGAGGCGGGAATGATGCGGAAGTGGGTTCCGAGCCCCGACGACAAGAAGATCCAAGAGGCGAGACGACCTGATGAGGCTGGAAAAAGGGCCAAAACGACACATGCATGGCCTAAAAGACGAGTACGAGCGCGTATGCGGGACACTCAAGCACGTGGGAAGCGGCGCGTACAAGGCAATAGACAAGGGCGCGCACACGCATAATGGCGTAGACGTGCATGGCGATTGGAGATTAGGCGGAGTGGCGCGCAGGGGGAGGTTGTTGGGTGGATGGCGCGCAAGAGGGACTGCTATAGATGGGCAAGCACGAGCGAGGAACGCGCATCGTGCCATGATGCGCGCGAGTGGTCGAGTGATCGTGCGAAAGATGCACGGGCGATAGGCGCATGGGTCAGCGAGCGCTGGGCAGGGACGCGCAAGTTGACGGGCGAACGCGATGATGGCGCGGAGGCCTCGAGCGTGGGCAGCAACCGCGGAGGTGGTGGGGACGCGCGGGAGCAGGCCAGCGGAGATGTGGCGCGCACATTGGCGCGCGAGTGGATCAGCGACGCGGGCAGAGACCTAGATCGAGTGGGCGTAGGAGTAGCGGGCTGGGACACGCACGCGCAAGTAACGGGCGATGAGCGAACGGTGCAGGCCAGCGGGCGCGATCGGGATGCAAGCGCGGATGACCCTTGCCGCGCGGGACAAGGCGTAGCGAAGACGCGTGCGTGGTGCGCGCGCGAAGGAATAAGGGACGAAGAGTTTGGAAGGCAAAAGAAGACTTGGGCATCAAGATACTTGGTGTGCAAGACAATTAATTAGTATTTTAGTTATGTTAGGATTTTATTTCCTTTATGCTTTTAATTAATATGTTAGGAGGTTTATTAGCATTAGAATTTATTTTATTGCATAGAATAGGAGATCTAGATTTATTAGGCTTAGAGGTAGATGGCATCTATAAATACCCCATGTACCTCATCATATTTTACAAGTTGAATTGAGTATTGAATTGGTGAGCCAATTGAGGGGAACTTTATGTTCTAACGTGTGATAAACAAGGCCGTCAGTGCGTGTTTACATACAGTGTCGGAGAGAAGGCCCTGAGAGCGTCTCGAAGTCACAGTATCTAGAAGAAGGCCCTGAGTGCGTCTGCTAGATACACCTATCGTGGATAAACGAAGGCCCTGAGTGCGCCGTTTATTCACAAGTCACAACCCACGTATAAATAACAACACCGATCAGCGGTCCTTCATCACACCGTGCGGCCGCGCGCGATTGCGCCGACTGGGGCCGCAATCGCGCCGCGCCAGCTTCGTCTCGGCCCGCAATCGCGGCGCGGCCGTGCACAAAAAAAAAAAAAAAAAAAAAAATTCCGCGTAAAATTAAAAAAAAATTTCGTACCTCTTGCTTCCGTAATCTTTCTCGATTTTCGGCCATTTTTCGGATTTCTTGGATCGTTTATTATTTTTTTGGAATTTTTTTTTTTTTTTAAGTGAGGGGAGAGAGATGCGGCGGGGAGGGGTTGGGTTTTGGGGAAGAAAGGGTATTGTGTGTGGGGGGCTGGGGGGTTCGGGTTTTTTTTTCAGATTTTTTTTTTATTTTTTTAAATAGTAAAGGTAAATTGGTCTTTTATGGGTGCGGTATAATCGATTTGGATGCGGTATTTAGAAATTCAAAAAGAATAATTGCTAGCTTAGGTTGAGAAAAAATAAATAAATAAATAGTTTATGGCGCCATTAACTGTTAATTGTGTGCTTGATTTTGTTTACTTTAATGAGAATCTGAATATTGTCAACAAAATTTTATTTTAATTGGATTTATTTGTGAGCCAACAAAATTTCTTGGTAAGCAAAATATAGTGAAGATCTTTGTAGGAAACTTTAACGGGAAAATAAAAATAAGATTGCTATATAACAAATACTGAGACCTGTGAGAACACAGTATCATTAAAACAGATTCGCCCGTATGAGCGTCTGTTTCTCAGAATACAACAGAAAAACCGAAACAAATCCGGCGAACTGAAACTATGCCTGGACCAAGACAATTAAAGAAAAATGGGGGAAAAGGCTTTATAAATGTTGTATTTACCTTTCGTGGTCTCGTATTTTTTTCTTTTTTCAAAACATGAAGACACGCCTTATGAGATAAGGCACATTAATAAATAGTTTATTAATAGTTCATTAAGTTAAAACTTAATGAGACTCTTGTAACATGAACACAGTTCAAACTTTTAAACCTTATGTTACAAGTTCATTCAACTTTTTCCAACATATCTCTCTTTTTAGCTGACTCTGATTAGACAACTACTTAAGGATTTTTTGATATGATGATAATTATTTCGAGTTGGTTTTCAAATCACAATGAAAAGTAACTTTAGGTTTTAGCTTGAAAATGTAATAATTTTTTACATCCGCAATTGTTAACTCATATCTCTCATTCCTTATATTCACTTTTTTTTTTCAGCAATGAACATTATCATCGCTCTAATTGTGGATATTTTAATATTTATGAATGGTCTAATAAAAATAACTATTGATCAATTTTTTCATAAAAAAAAAAAAAAAAAAACGTAAGATATTACTAGACAAACCAACTGCTGGTCAATGTCAAATGTTTCTGATCCCAACAATTTACTAAATAATTTCGAAAATTTTACTTGAGGGGCTTAGCTTACATTACCACACTAAATAAAGTTCTGAATCATACACAGGAAAAAGATACAAATGAGATGAAAAGTGTGCCATTTAACAGTGCGAGCAGACTATATCCGCTCCTGACAGTTGAATAAATAAGTTGTATTTACGATTCTTTACGACGACTACAAACTACGGTTATCTTTGGTTAACTTCAATCCGAACTCCAAGTACACTGCCTATTTTCTTTAGGTATAATATATTGTGCTTTTTGCCGGGAGCTAAATTTTCACCACCTCCAAAGATGGGCCCTCATATTAACTGGCTGAAACAAGAAGGTGGTGTAAACTCCAAATGCGATCTTTAGCCGATAAAATGAGCCGTCTCAACTTTGTAATCAATGACCGACTTACATCATCCATGTAAGCAACAAACTCCATGATCTCTGTTAGTGTGAAGATGCAATTTGCTACTAAGTTTCTAAGGCTGACTTTGAACAAAATCACAAATTATAGTGTAAAGCAGAAAATCGTGAGCTTCCTTACCTAGAAGTAACCTCAATTGAATATATTTGATCCTTGTCTTAAATCTGGACAAAACAAGTACTGCAGAACCTGGAAAACGTGAAGTGACAGAAAGTTACGAGTGCCAGGCGATTTAAGACGAGTGTGAAACCAAAGACCGAACAATGCAATAAGTGTGTGTAGCATATATTTTGTCCCTTAATCATCAAGAGACGTAAACAAGGGATTTCTGATAGAAGATAATATAACTCTGTGAGCAACATCCAAATAATTGAACTGAATTTGATATGGGACGGGGTGAATCTGAACAAGGTGTACCTGATTCAGCACTTGCCTCTGTAGAGAGCCCAGACAAGGCACATTTCGCATAAGATAGTAGTCGGACTCGTTGAGAAGCACCCAGCTTGCTCATCAAAGACCTTA